AGCAGGTGCTTCTGAGGTCCCCTCCTCCCTTTCGCCCTCCTATCCTACAAGGCCACACTTCCATGAATCCTGGCTATGAGCTCAGCTCCCAGTTTGTACTTTATTGAGTAGGAAAGAGCCTCCCCTTTGGAGCCAGGAACCAGGCTCACCCTGGACTGTCAGCACCCTTCCAGGCCTGTTTTCCTGGCAGCCGGCAGGAGGCCGTTGTGGAGCCTGGTGGGCCTGGGAGGTGGGGTGTGTACATAGGTGGAATGGTTGGAGTGACCTGACCATCGTGGATGGGGGAGGTGGCAAGAGGCTTGGCATGAGTCTGGGGTCGAAGCAGGGATGTTCATGGAGCTTTGGGTCTGGCCCTCGGGAAGAGTGGGCCTCCTGTGCCTGTGCTGACCCCCTGATGCCAGCATCTTGCCAAGGCAGGAGGCTTGTGGGCATGTTTGCTGGGTGAGGCCTGGTGGGCAGGCATCCTCCTGCTTGACCCACCCCACGGTGAGTTGTCCCTGCCACTCGTTGAGGAGGGGCCTGGGCCTGCCCTGGCCACTGCCTTGATCGAGGGGAAATTGGGGAGAAATCTACACTTGGCTCCAGACCTTAGTCATCTTATTGTCCTGGCTCCCAGAGGCCACCTGGGGATTCAGTGACTCTCACAGGCAGGTGCCAGGGCTGAAACCTCCACCTTTGTGACTGAGGAGGGTTTGCCTGGGGGTTAGCCATTCTTTCTTGGGTGACCAGAGCGATGTGTGCATTCAGCCTCTTGCTCCTCAGTGTGTTGGCCCTGCCTGCGGGTCCTTCCTCTGCCTTAGGCAGCAGCCCTTGGGGCCTCATTTCTTCATCTAAAGATGGCAACAGGCGCCTGCACCTTCCGGGGCTGTGGCTGGGGTTGAAGGCCTAGTCAGCCTATGTCCCCCAGGGACCTGGAGGGCCTTGATTGCCTGGGCTGATATAGCAGCAGTTGCGGAATGTTTGCTCTCCTTCCTTGTTATCTGTGCAGGCCGAGGAGGGGAGGCTTTATGGAGGTGGGGCATGTCCTCACTGATAGCCAGGTGGGGGCCCTGGCCAAACTGCTTTTCTGAAGCAAAGATGGGAAAAGTGGGGTGGAACTGGTTTGGGCTTCAGCCCTGGCTCGTTCCCAGCCCCAGGCTGGTTTTCCCTGAGGTCACCCGGGTGTGCAGCTTCTGAAGAGGCCTTGAGGGGATCAGAGACAAATATTGGGGGCTATGAGGGAGGGGCGAGGGGTGGCGGGAGCTGGTACGATGCCCAAGTCCCTACTACAGCACCTCTCTGGGTTTCCCACTCATCTCATTCCTCAGATGCTACTTTGTAACCTGAATCAAAAATGGGTCAGGTCCTGGCGAGGGAGGGGCCATGGGCCTGGAGCGCAGGGCTCAGATTCCCACTGTGTGCTGTTGGAGCCCAGAGGCGCCTGGGAGCCCTGGCAGTGGCTCTCTGGAGCCAGCGGCCTGGGGGCCTTGTCCACCTGTGGCCCCCCCACAGAGCTAAGGAAGTGGATGGCCCTGCCTGGGGTGGCAGGGACAGGCTGGTGGCCAGTCTTAGGGGACAGTGGACTGAGTGCAGGGGCTTGTGCCCCAGCTGCAAGCCCTGAGCATGTGACCTAAACAGGTGTGTGACCAGTGCCTGTCTGTTTGCAATAGCCCCGACCCTCTAACCTGCCCTGTGAGCCACCGAGACCGAACCAAGCGGCGCCACCAGCCACAGGCTGGCCTTGCAGAGGCAGAGCCCTTGGAGCAGTGACAGCCCAGGAGATCCTCTGGTGCGGGGGAAGGGAGGAAGGAGGAAAACAAAGGCGAGTGAGCCAGTGAGGGAGCGAGCCGTACGCCGCCCTCCCTGCGCCTGCCCACGATGTGTCAGTCAGAGGCACGGCGAGGACCAGAGCTCGCCTCAGCGAAATGGTGAGATGCTGCCGGCCGCGTCCTAACCCCTCTGTGCCCCGCCACAACCTCCGGAAGGTCAGAGTTCATATCCAGCGGCCCCGAAGTGGAGGTGGCAGCAGGGGCCCCGGGGGTCAGCCCCCAAGGCTGGAGGGACCTGGCCTGGGGGGCCCGAGCACCCTGAGTCGGAGAGCCCACTTCAGGTACCTGCGGGTCCGGCCCTGAGGAGGGCCCAGTGGGCGGGAGTAGGCCAGAAGGCATCAGTCCCCATGTCTGTGATGTTCCTTACCCTGGTGCTCCCAGGCCCCCTCCCACCTCCAGACCCCTGCCTTGGCGCCCTGCCTGGGAGAGAGGCTTCCCCATCCCCCTTCCTACTGGCGGGAGAGGTGCATCTCTTCTAGGATTGGTCCCTGCTTTTCTGCAGCGAGCAGGGCAGTTGGGGAAGCCTGGGGAGAGCAGCGACTTGTCTGTCTTTGCTTGACCCCTGTCATCTGCGCAGACCTTTTTAACACGGTGGGTGGGATGGGAGAGAAAGTACCTGAGAGTTGTGGGGATGCAGCGCCTGGGAGCACTGGGCCCTGCTTCCATTGCATCACTGACCACAGAGCCCGGCCGCTGGCTCAGCACTCTGCTTGTTCTGCTCTTACTATCAGCTGAGGTACCTCTTTGTTCTTTAGTTTGCTCAGAGACAGGGAGGACTCAGCTTCTCTTGAGAGCACATTATCCAGTCTAATGCAGTCACTTTGCAGAGGGGGAAACTGAGGCCCAAGGGACATTCTCATAGTGGGTGGCTGTGCTGTCTCCTGTGCTGGAGTCTGTTACCTCACTGGCAAGGCAGCTTACTGAGGGCGGTGTGCAGGAGGGGTCCTGCCTGGGATGGGTCCCTCCCAGAGCCTGGCCACTGACCCAGGCTGTGCATGGACATGTGTCCTGCAGGTTGCACTTCCCCCAGCTGGCCCTGAGGCGGAGGCTGGGGCAGCTGAGCTGCATGTCCAGACCCACCCTGAAACTGCGCTCCTGGCCCTTGACAGTCCTCTACTACCTCCTGCCCTTCGGCGCCCTCAGACCGCTCAGCCGGGTGGGATGGAGGCCCGTAAGCAGGGTAAGTGCACAGCTGCTGTGGCTACAGGCCTTCCTCGGGAGGGCCTGAGGTTGGGTGCAGGAGAGAGCAAGGGGACAAGCTGTCGCAAGCAGAGGTGATGGCTGCGGCCTAGGTGGACCACGGCTGGAAGGTTCGTTGGTTGGCAAGGACAGGGCAGCTTTTAAGGAGAAAGTCAGGCTGATTGGTGGCCACATGGGTTGCAGAAGAGTGACTTCAAGGGTGAACTGTATACTGCTTGGTCCCCCCGCCTGCCTCATGTGTGCCATTTGGGACTCTGGTTCTGGAAGGAACCCACACGGGGATTCAGAAGATGGTGTCAGACTTTGTGTATTCAGGCAGAAGACAGCTCAGAGGTGGTTTTGAGAAGGACCCAAAGTCCTGTATTTCAGAGGGCTGGTTCAGGAAGGCTGGAGCCTGTTGGGCCCCTTAGAGTGAGGATGCCCTTGTGGAACCAAGAGGCCACTGTGGGGCCTGCCCCAGATGGGGCAAGGGAGCTGGCCTGGCCACTCCTGGTCCTTGGAGTCAGGTCTTGCCCTCAGCTTTCCAGGCAGACCAACTCCAAGGAGGAAACCCTGTTCCTGACCCTTTGACAGCCATGGTGGGTGTCTTGAGAGCTCAAGGTGTGCCCTGGACATCAGATCAGGCTCTAGCCTATGCCAGAGAAAGGCTTGGGGTCACACAGCAGCCCTGGGCCATTCTGGGTGGCTGGGCATCAACTGGGAGGGGTAAGAACAACTCTGGGATTCACTCACTATTCATTACCTCAGAGAGGTGTTGGAAGTTGGAGTGAAATAACTTTTATGCCTCGGTGAGTTGGTGTCTTGGTTGTTCAGAGAAGCAGCAGCCTCTGATTAGAAGCAGTTCCCACTGTGGCAGCAGCACCTGAAGTTTAAGAGGCTGCCCTTTCCTGGTGCTTGGCCCTGTGAGAGGGCTCCAGGACTAACCATTGGGGCCCAGCATGTCACCAGGCCGTTGCCTGTCCTCAGGTGTTCAGGCTTCCCAGGCAGGCTTCTCTGGAGGGAGGGACAACAGAGGGACCTGAGGGATGATTCGCCTCTGTTTCCTGGGAGGATCCCCAGGTGCACACAGCTTTGTGGCCTGGCTCCATCCCTGGAGAAGCTTCTGAATGCTGGCTGGACCTGAGAGGCTGCAGAGCCTGTGTCTGCGTGCAGCCCAGGGGACAGTGATATAGCAGATCTGAAAATCCCTGAGGTTGCTTGGATTGTCACTTCCTGTTAAGACAAGAGGATACACACTTTGGACTGCAGGCTTGTTGCATGCACCTCCTCCTTCCTCTAGTGGTCTGGGATGTGAGCAGTGACCTGGGACAAGGACAAGATGTCCACTGCCTCCTGCCACACATTGACTGTGGCTAGGGTCAGATCTGTTGGTGTTCTCCACCCCCCACTTTAAGAAGTAAGATTTTGCTAGATAGTCTCTCTCTCTGGGACTTGGGCAGTTGCTGTCTGATCTTTTTTTTTTTTTTGAGTTGGAGTCTCACTCTGTCGCCCAGACTAGAGTGCAGTGGCCGCTCCTGGTCACCACAGCCTCAGCCTGCTGGGCTCCGGCGATCCTTTCGCCTCAGCCTTCCAAGTAGCCGGAACTACAGGCATGTGCTACCACGCCCGGCTCATTTTTTGATTTATTGTAGAAATGAGGTCTTGCCAAGTTGCCCAGGTGGGTCTTGAACCCGCGGGCTCAGGCAATCCACTCACCTTGGCCTCTCAAAGCTCTGGGATTACAGGCTGAACCACCAAGCCCGGCTTGCTATCTGATCTTTGCTTGAAATGACTAAACCCCTGGTTGTATGTAAATCCAGGACTGATGTGAGAGTAGTTGGCATCTGGTTCCTGGTGAGAAACAGCCACATCACAAAACCGGCGTGGGGCGCCTGGGCCTCTGCTGGGTGCGTGTTCTCTCCTGCCAAGGGGAGTGGGTGGGCTCACAACAGCACCAAGCTCTTTGGAGCTGGGGCAGTGAGGCCAACTCAGCCCCCACGCTGTGACCTGCAGGTGGCCCTGTACAAGTCAGTGCCGACACGTTTGCTGTCACGGGCCTGGGGCCGCCTCAACCAGGTAGAGCTGCCGCACTGGCTGCGCAGGCCCGTCTACAGCCTGTACATCTGGACCTTCGGTGTGAACATGAAGGAGGCCGCTGTGGAGGATCTGCACCACTACCGTAACCTCAGCGAGTTCTTCCGGCGCAAGCTGAAGCCACAGGCCCGGCCTGTCTGTGGCCTACACAGTGTGGTGAGGTCCAACTCTTTTCTCCTACAGGACAGGATTCTCGCCTGTGTCTTTGGGTACCAGGCCCAGCAGCTGTCATGGTCAGGGCTCTGGGGGGTGGGCAGCTTCTCTCAGGCTGAGCCCCACATGCCCAGGACAGCCCTGGCTCCAGCGTGTCTGGGAGGGGTAGGGCTCTGGGCTATGCGATGACAAGGTGGGGGCTGCCTCCTGGGAAAGGAGATTCCCCCTCCGTGCAGCAAGCCTTTCTTGACCCTTCCAGATCAGCCCATCGGATGGGAAGATCCTCAACTTTGGGCAGGTAAAGAACTGCGAGGTGGAACAGGTGAAGGGGGTCACCTACTCCCTGGAGTCATTCCTGGGCCCACGCACCTGCACAGAGGACCTGCCCTTCCCACCAGGTGGGTCATTGTGCAGCAAAGCTAGGACATCCCTGCCATATGTGTCTAGGGCTGAGGAAGGGCTGTGAGGCAGGGAGGGGAGGGAAAGCTGGGAAGGCTGCAGGAGCCAAGGGCGGCGTGTGGGGCTGGGGGCCACTCTGACCAGAGCTTCAGGGCTTCTTTGGGAGTCTGTGTCCAGACTGCACCAGGCTCCATGCTGGGTGCTCACTGTGGCCGGCTGGCACCAGGAGCTTGGCTCAGAGCCTGGCATCTCTGTCTGTCCCCACCCTGCAGCCACCTCATGTGACTCCTTCAAGAACCAGCTGGTCACCCGGGAAGGGAATGAACTCTACCACTGTGTCATCTACCTGGCCCCTGGGGACTACCACTGCTTCCACTCCCCCACTGACTGGACCATTTCCCACCGGCGCCACTTCCCAGGTCAGCTCAGGGCTAGCATGTGGTTGGGAGCTGCCTCCACGGGCTTCAGAGGCTCTCATCTTCTTAGTGTCAGGGACCAAGCTCCAGATGGCGGTCCTTGAGGCCAGGATTTGACACTTTAAGCAGGCTGGTTGTAGGCAGGAGGTGGGTGGGGGAGCCTGGGGTCCAGCCTGCTTTGCATTTGGAACGCCACTAAAGTGACAAGTCATGAGTCCCTCTGGGGCCGTCCTGGAGTGGACTCACCATGCCCTGGCTGGGGAGTAGCAGTGTTCCCTGCCCCACAGGTTCCCTGATGTCAGTGAACCCTGGTATGGCTCGCTGGATCAAAGAGCTCTTCTGCCACAATGAGCGGGTGGTCCTGACTGGGGACTGGAAACATGGCTTCTTCTCACTGACAGCTGTGGGGGCCACCAACGTGGGCTCCATTCGCATCTACTTCGACCAAGTAAGCAGAACCCAAGCCTTGCCAAAGCCCATGGGCCGGACCTCTTGGGTCCACCCGCCCCATCTGCTGTGATCAGATGTAGTGGGACTGCACGTTCCAGAAGGGCCGTGTCTCCAGCCGGCCTGGCTTTGCTGAGCAGCTGTCCTGAGAAGGGGCTGTCCCCACCAGCCGACCGGCAGGCCTTTCTCCTTCCCTCCTACTTTGTACCTCTGTCTGGAGGTGCCTGGGAGAGATGACGGGAATTAGCCTCTCTCTCTGGCACTTGGCTTCTTCCAGGAACCATGGTCAACCATGAGAGTAAGGAGGAGCAGAAAGTATTGGGGCTGGGAAGTGATGGCTCATGCCTAGAATTCCTAGCACTTTGGGAGGCTGCGATGAGACGATTGTTTGAGCCCAGGAGTTTAAGACCTCATCTCTACAAAAAACTTATTTTAAAAGCTAGCTGGGTGTGGTAGTGTGTGCCTGTAGTCCCAGGTACTTGGGAGCCTGAGGCAAGAGGGATCACCTGAAGCTGCGGTGAGCTGTGATCGTGCCATTGTACCCCAGCTTGGGCAATAGTGAGACCCTGCCTCAAAAAAAAAAAAAGTATTGAGCTTGGGTAGGTTGCATTGACTGGAGGTTAGAGTCTGAGATGGTTAGAGCGCTCAGAGACTTGCTGCCCACCTGCCTGAGGGGCTGCCATTTGGGTGTCAGTCTGTGACCAACGATCCATGTCTTGCCGTGTCCCGCATGCTGGAGGAACCACCAGGTCTGATTTCTCCTGTCCTCCTGACCCAGTTCACAGCAGGTGTCAGAACTGTGTGTGATCCGGCTGGACCATTCCCACCATCCCACGCTTTCTGGAGCTGGGTTGGGGATGTTGGGACAAGCAATAGAGGGAGGTAGGACTCCACACAGATAGGGTGGTGCCCTCCATGGCCCAGGCCCCTCTGAACCCCGGCCTCCCACTGCAGGACCTGCACACAAACAGCCCGCGGTACAGCAAGGGCTCCTACAATGACTTCAGCTTCGTGACGCACGCCAACAAGGAGGGCGTCCCCATGCGTAAGGGCGAGCACCTGGGCGAGTTCAACCTGGGTTCCACCATTGTGCTCATCTTCGAGGCCCCCAAGGACTTCAACTTCCAACTGAAGGCAGGACAGAAAATCCGCTTTGGAGAGGCTCTGGGCTCTCTCTAGAGCCTCTTTCCTGGCTGCGGCTGCTGAGGGAGCTTTTCCAGATGGACAGAGTGTGAGGGTCTTTTAAAGGGGAAACTCCAGAAGGCCATCCCAGGGAGGGCCTGCCTCAGGGCCCCAGGGGTGGGTAGGTCTGACCAGGTAGGACCTGAATGATTCAGCTCCCACCTGTCCCAGAGGCTCAGACAAGAGGTTCTGGATCCTTCTCCCTAGGCAGCCCTTAATCTTGCCCTTGACCTGTGCTGTGCTGTTCCCTCTTCCCCCACCCTACAAGGAAAGAAAAAAAGTACAGGCTGAGATGATCTTATCATTTTGGGATCTTTTAAAACATTGTATAAACTGGAGACCCCACATCTCCTGGATGAGCTTTCATTCAGTCTTGTCATTTGATGAGTAGTAATGTTCCAACCTGCTGCTGCTCCCTTCACCTGGGCATTTGCGGTAAGCCCCTTCTGCCTCATTGGCCTTAACCCTCTGCCTCCCCAACACAGGGTGAGGTGCCTCCTTGGCACAGACTGTGAACCCCTTTGACCTGTCTCCCCAACGCAGAGCGCCACAACCTTCCTGATAACTGCTCTCTGTTCCCAAATTCACCTCACCCTGCTCGCTGGAAAAGCAAAATCTTCCTTTCCACTTGTGGCTGAATGCATCACCTGAACTCTTTGCCAGTCTTCTGAGGATGGTGACTAACGACCACAGACCTTTGCAGGCCCCGATGAGTGACCTTCCGGAGCTGGGTCCTCTCTGTGGCAGGCAAAAATCACTGAGCCTGCCTGATGGTGTCAGAGTGAACAGGGCAGGCAGGAAGAGGCCCGACAGGGGACAGGGGAGTGCTCATGTACCCCTCCCCAGATCCAGCCCTACATGAAATACGGGAAAATTGCTATTGATTCAGGGGCTGTGCTGGAGGCAGAGGAACCTTGGTGTACAGTGGGTGCCTAGTAAACCTGTCCCAGTTAACAGGTATGCAGGCCCTGGGAGCCCCTGATGGAGGGGACAGGGCCAGGTTTCATGTTGGCCCTGGAGATGCTATGAATTTCTCCTGCAGGAGAAATCATTGAACTTTTCAACTGTATCAGTAGCATAGTATTTTTGTATGAAAAATGGGGGACTTCTGAACAGTAATTCATTTAATTGCAAAACGTTTTGAAATAAAAAAAAAAAAAAAACTCATGGTAGCTTTGCGTTCTCCTGAAAGTGGCCTGAGCATAGGGCCTGCCGCAGGGCCTGGATACGGGCGACGCAGGCATTGATGGGCTGGTGCTGGGCCTGGAGCTCCTCAGCCAGCTGTTGGATCTGCAGTTCCACCTGGAGGAGGAGAGGGACAGGCTGGGCTGAGGAAGCACCGTCGGGGCATCCCTGGGGCTGGCCTGGGCCTCACCTGCACCAGCTCTTTCTGCACCTGCTGCTCTGCTTCCTGGTCCTCGGGCCTGGGCTCCTCTTGGCTCAGCTCCAGCCACTTGCGCAGGCTGCTCGCTTGCCGCTGGCAGGACCTGAGGGGTGGAGACATCTGCTGCCTGCCAGGCTGGGTTCTTGGCTCCTCATGGGAGCCCCCCTCTGGCTCAGGGAGAAGTGCATCAGTTAATTCTGATGCGGGGGCAGGGTGGACAGAGAGGGGTCTGTGTGGTGGGCCCCCTGCCCTGAGCCGCAGGACCCTGGCTTGGGAGGCAGTACTTGTTCCTATTCCTCTCCCAGCCTCCACCCTCCCCAGCAAACAATTCAGGTGGGCCCAGGTGAAAACACCTTTCTTGTCCCTCTTCCCCTGTGCAGGGCTGGGGACAAGAGGACCAGTCTGTTTCCTTTGAATCCCTGAGGATGCTGCATGTTGATGGCCCACAGCTACCTTCTCCACACCTTTAATGCCAGTGTTACAGTCACTAACTGGGTACACAACGACCCAATTAGGCTCCTCTAGTTACGCTGAGCTTTGTCACAATCCCCCACTGAAGACTAGGCCTCCATCCACAGGTGAGGTGGACTTGGGCCTGCCTGAGCAGGGTGGAGGTGCCACAGTGGACACCAGGGCTTCTGTACAGCACACATCAAGGGCTTCCTGCCCCCCACCCACAGGAGACTGGCAGCTGGCTTGGGGGGAGTGGAGCTTCCCGCCTGTCCAGGGCACACCGGCTCCTGTGGCAGACTCACAGGGCTTTCCCAGGGTCTCACCGGAGGTTCTGCTTGGTGGTCTGGTAGTGCTGTAATTGCTGCTGGATCCCCTCAAGCTCTGCCCCCAGGTTCATGCAGCCTATGAGAACAGGAGAATGAGCTTGTTTCTGACCAGACTTCCCCTCCCCTAGACTAGGATGAATACTGGGTCCCAGGTGCTGGGTGTGGCCTGAGTGCTTGATGCCCTGACAGGCCCCCGGTACACACCTGCAGGTTCAGAGCTAAGCCCAGGCCCAGCCATGGTGCCTGTGAAGTCCCTGGGGAGGAGCACAAGGGGGTCAGGGACATTGGCCAAGGATGGGGGGGCCTGGGTCTTAAACCTGGGAGTGGTTGGCTGTGCTGACACCTGTAAAAGAAGGAAGAATGGACACTGAGCAGGGAAGCCAGGAGAAAGCCCTGAGAGAGAGGCATCGAGTCTTTGTCACCACCTGCCTTGCAGGGGTGGGGGAAGGCCAGGCCCCCAGCCCCACGAGCTGGGCTTCCCAGGCACCAGCCATGCCAGCTCACTCAGTCTCGCCCTGCCCCTGCTTGCAGAACCTGACATGGTAGGAGAAAGTCCTGCAAGCCACCAAGGAGCACCCCACACTTCCACAGACCCATTCCTGCTAGGGGGTGTTGGCACTGCCCCTGCGGCTGTTTCTAGTCTTACTCAACCTTCTACCCCCACCTCTGAGCTTGGAGTTCAGTGAGAAAAGGGGTCAGTCAGAGGCAACTTCTCACTGGCTCCACCTACAGCCTCCTCGCTAGCCTCTTCTACCAACACCCCACCCCCAGGTCACTGCCAGAACAGGAGACAGAACCCTCTTGGCCCCATGCCCCATTTCAGCCATAGTATGCAGCCCCACAAGGCCAAACTCACAGGAACTGGCTCCTTTCCATCCTCACCCCTTTCAGAGACCAGCTTCTGGGGGCCCTAGTGAAGTTGTCACCTCTACTGCTGAACTCTCACGCCCCCTGGCCATCCCTGCCCAGGCTCCTCCCCCAGGCCTGGCCCTTCCCCTTCCTCCATACTCTCCTAGGTGAGAGTTCCAAGGGGGTCAATGCTGTTGCTTTCTCTCAGATTTGACAGGTTCAAAACAGACTCTTCGTGCTTCACACAAACCAGTCCCCACCCCCAGTTTTCCTTTCAGTAAAGAACTCATCGTTCCCCAAGTTACTCAAGCCAGAAACCTGAGTCATCCCAGCTTCCTTTCTTCCCCTTGTTTTCAGCAAGTCCATCAGAGCCATCCTGCCTTGTCTGCCCCCAAGAGTGTTATCTGTCCACCTCTACAGCAACCAGCTGAGTCCAGGCCACCAGTGTTGCTTGCTTGGACCACATGGATCACAGTGACCAGAAGCCAGACATGGTGCTTCCGGCTAGAACCCTTCCACAGCTTCCTGCTCTCAATTCCACTTTTCCTCATGGCCTGCACAATCTTACATGATCTCATCACCTCACTGGCCTGTATGCAGGGGTTTTCTTTTGGTTACCTCTGCTAGAGTACAGGCCTAGACTACAAGCTAAGGGCAGGGACCTCAGCAGGCTGTTCCCTGTGGTGTCCCTTGGACCTGGTGTGCAGTGGACACCCATACTTGCTGAATAAATGAGTGGTCTCTGTGTCTGCCGGTGCCAAGGTATTTCAGAAACAGCAAGTACAGCTGTGTCTACAACGGACGTGTATGAGAACACCAAAGGCCAGATCAAAGGACAGGAGCCTCAGTGCCCAGGCCTGGTGATGGAGGACCAACTTACCCTGGCTGGTGCTTCCGACCTGTGGGGCATGAAGGAGGGAGGAGGCGGCGGCAGCAGCTGTGGGCCTGTACTTGCCTCAGGGAGCAGCTTTGGGCCAGGGGTACTTGATAGAGCCCTGGGCAGGGAGCTGCTTGGGGCCAGTGTGGTCAGGGCCTCGGCCAGGAAGGGCGTCACGAGAGGAGGGCCTGAAGGCTGGGCCATGTCTAGGCCACATTCCTGTGGCTTCTCAGGCCTGAGCAGACGGAAGGCAAGAGCCTGGTCAGGCTACAGGACCTTTCCCTGGGACCAAGGAATAAGAAAGGAGACCACCCACCCTAGGGTTGCCAAGATACAGGCCTCAGATGGAGGTGCCCGCTGCTTTTGGGGGCCCAGTGCTACACCACTTACCGCTGACTCCTAAGAATGCCACACCCCAGAGACTGCTGGCTCTGCACGGGCTCCAACAAGAAGTGTGGGCGCCGTGGCTGCTTCCTTGCCGAGCGGGCAGCATTGCTGGGGAAAAACAGAGGGTCTTTTCCTCTGGGCTGACAGAGACTGCAGGGGTGCCTGAGATCTTTGTGGGGGTAGGTATCATCCAGTCTGACCCCTCCAATTTCACAGGGAGACTGGAGGCCAGAGAGGGTGGGGCTCTTGCCCAAGGTCAGCAGGTAAGTTGGGGTGGACTTGGAATGTAGGAACTCCCAGCTGTTCCCACGAAGGGTGCCCGGTGCCACAAGGCTGCTTTACCCACGTTGTCTCTTGACCTGTACAGCAATCCTGGTGACACAGGTGCTGTCCGTGTCACAGGGGAGCAGCCTCTGTCAAGGTGGGTCAGTGCAGGGCAGAGCAGGGACCAAGGACCAGGCCCATGCACCTGCCTGTGGTTTCTCCCCAAGGCCTGGGGCTCTCAGGCAGCACTGGTCACTCTGGGAGCCACCAGCTGCATGAGCACAGGGCAGGCCATAGGTGTAGGGTTTGGGGAGGTCATCAGGGGGCAAGTGCCAGGTCACAGAAAGCAGGTTTCTGGCAGGGAGTTGGTGTCTCAGCTGCAAGGTGGAGGGGAGAGTGACAGGTCCAGAGGCAGCCCATCCCTTTTGCCAGCATGTATCACTTTGGAAAAGATTGTTTGTCAGCAGCAGGACAGGAGAGAGGGCAGGAAGGTGTCGCAAGGAGTGGATAAGATACCCATTTCTCGAGCTTTGGCAGGCAAAGGAGAAAGGGGGTCTGGTTATCCCATCCCACTCTGTTCTCCACGCCCTGGGAGGGTCAGGATCCTGCTGGAGGGGGTTTCTGAGTTTTGCTGTGACAAGGCTGTGATTAGCCTGTCCTACCGCCAGGGCCCAGTTTTCCTTCCTGTTTTACTAAGCTTTTGCCCAAGGTGGGAGTGAGAAGGAAGGGGCGAGGGACGAGCAACTCACGGCTCCAGGAGATGGGGCTCCCTGGCAGCCATGGCCAGGCTGCCCAGGGCTCCCTGAGGCTGAGAAGCTCGTGGCTTCTTGGTCTTCAGGACAGCATCCCCAGCCCCAGCAGCAACGTAGTTGAGAAGGGGACTCTCAAATGTCACTCTCCTGCTGGGTGCAATGGGTGCCAGGGGCTGAGGCTCCCTGCTCCGGCCCAGAACCTTCTGCTTCCAGAGTGTGGCACAGTGGCGGACAGTGCGGTGGAGACTGTGGGCCGCCTGCAACAGGGCCTCTTGTCAACTCACACCAGACCCCACCCGCTCCCCACAGGAAGAGATGAGAGTCCCAGGCCTACCTGGACCTGCTGCTGGGCTTGCAGCTGCTGCCGGAAGGTCTTCATGCCAGCCGCAAAGCGCAGAAGGCGCATGGTGCCCTCCTGGAGGAGCTGCTGGTGGTGGGCCTGCACGGCCTGCTCCAGCCGTGCCTCCTTCTTCCTCCTCTCCAGCACAAAGTCCAGCCACGCGGCCCACGCCTCCAAGGAGAGCAGGAGGGGAGGCTCAGGTCTCTCTGCTTAGGGCTCCCGCAGGGACTCTGCCTAGGGTCCAGCCCATAGACCAGCTGCCTCCCCTCCTCCAGGACAGGTCTGGAGCCTCTGGGAGAGGCAGGAGCAGCAGAACGCGGCACCCAGTTACCTTTGCCTGTAGTGAGAAGGCCCAGAACCACAGGGCCCGTGCTGTAGCCTGCTGCTCCAGTCTCCTGGCCACCAGCTAGGGCCAGAAAGACTGGATTATTTCCTGGTCACCTCTTCAAGAGGCTGCCCTGAACACAGGACCCTGTCGCCCTGCCCACACATCACTCCTGCTCCTTCTACAGTCGAGGCTCCCTTCCTTCACTGGGAAGGGCTGCCCCGGGCATGACTGTGGGTGCTCTACACACTCCCCGTCTGTGTGCGGAGGAAAGAACGAAACCAAAGACTTAAAATGGATTTCAGGCTGGGTATGATAGCTCACACCTGTAATCCCAACATTTTGGGAGGCCAAAGTGAGAGGATTGCTGGAGCCCAGGAGTTCAAGACCAGCCTGGGTAACATAGCAAGACCACATCTCTATAAAAGAGTCAAAAGTGACTGGCCTTATACAGGTGGAAGGAAGCTAATGGTACTGGGAAATGACCTGGAGGGGGCCAAAAGGAGGTATCCCCAGGAGTGGGCAATATTGAAAATACTGAACTAAAGTTGTGGGCTGAAGGCCACCTACAGCCTGGGCCTCACGAGCCAGCGCAAGGGCAGGGAAGCAGAAAGGGACATCTCCCAGGCTCCCACCTGCTGTCTCCAGTGACAGAAGCAAACATGACTGAGTCTCTGTGCCAGGAATCGGGTGCCCTGCCTCTGCAGGAGCTGGGGAGAGAGCAAGCACACAGGGAAGGGCGTCCAACCAGGCTCAGGAACCCTATTCCCACGACCAGGGCGAGTGTCTGATCCTGGGGCCAGCTGCAGGATGAGGCTCCTGGCCCAAGTGACCTGTCCTTCCAAAAACAGGAGGGGTCCTGGATGATGCCAAGGGCCTTCTGCACAGGCGAGGAGTGTCAAGATGACTCTACAGGCTCCCCCCAGCTCTGCTAAGCCCAAGGGTCAGCATGAACCAGATTACTCTGCTGACCATCTTCCCCAGGGAACACCCAGAAAGGCTCCTGCAGCCTTGTTCCTGCAGGACCTCAACCCACCCACCAGCATCCTTGAGTTCTGTCAGGAGACATTCCCTCCTCGAGGAGTCTCTGCCCTGGACACCCCTTGCCAGGGGAACTTGGAGAGTGCTGCTGCCTGCCTCACCCTTTTCCTGATACAGCCCAGATGGTGCATCTTCCACCGGGTCATCCCCTCCTGCAGCAGCTGCCAGCAGTAATGCCGAGCCGCTCTCTCCAGCAGCGCTCTCTGCTGGGCTGACCTCCGACTGTCGTCCTGCCAGCGCCGAAACCAGGTCCGGAGACAGCCTGGGGCAGATCCAAGCCAGAGTTTGGTCTTTTGTAGGATTTCCACAAGCGATTACATAATGGTGAAGGTTCAGAGAGCAGAGAAAGTTATGTGATAGAGTGGGGGAGTCCAGCCCATATCTGGTGAAACCACCACATGTGGACTGTGGCTACTCTCTAGGGACAGCACTGGCTACCTTCAGCAAACGTGAGCACCCTGGGGACCAGAACCAGGTCCGTTCACTGCTGTGCTCAGGAAGGGCCCACCAAGAGCCACAAGCATGTCCACAGCCACCACAGGTGTGTCAGGGGCCCCCACAGGGTCACATGCAAGATGCTGTTACATACGTGGAAGAAAACCCTGGGTCTAAGGGAGGAGGAGGAGCTTCCCACTTAAGTTGGAGCTTGGGGTGGAAGGAGAAGGCAGCCCTGTCTTACCAGGGTGGAATCCAAGGCCCAGTTACACAAGCCAAGCCAACCCAAGGCACGACTGGGTAGGAGGCACATGGTCTGCTGGGCCGTGTCTTCTGACCACCCCCCGGCTCTGCAGGTGGGAGCCACTCTTACATTTTATTTGTGTCACCAGATTATCCTTTTGGTGGCTTTTTCGTGGACGTGATATAAGTTTCTTTTTGAGACAACAGAAGAGGGTTGATACCGGGATATGATATCTAGATGGGGAGCCCTCCAGGGCCCGATGGAGCAGCTATCGTACCTGTATCCCCACACTTTGGGAAGCCGAGGCAAGCAGATTGCCTGAGCCCAGGGGCTCAAGACCAGCCTGGGCAACATAGCGAAACCTCACCTCTACAAAAAAATAAAACAATTATCTGGGTGTGGTAGCATGTGCCTGTGGTCCCAGCTACTTGGGATGCTGAGGTGGAAGGAGGTGGAGGCTGCCATGAGCCATGACTGTGCTACTGCACTCCAGCCTGGGCGACAGAATGAGACCTTGATTCAAAAACAAACAAAAAAAAACCCCCAAAAACAAAAACACACAACTTGAGTGATTTCTCTATGGTCCAATTTACATTATTTCTAATTGTTTTCACTTTTGTTTGTATTTCCATTTATTCTAATTAGGAGCTATCCCCTTCAGAATGTCTCGGAGTCCCCCACTGCAGGGCTGCCTAGCTGTGCCAGGAGATAATTCTCATGGGTCTCCTGTGTGTGTGTGCATCTTGTGAGCAGGGCACTGACGCTTGTTTGGACTGTCTTTCCAAAGATGTTTGTAGTGGGACTTCCTGAGGCCATCTGAGCAAGTCTCTGGCTCCTAAATACAAGAGCCCAACCATGCAAGGAAGCAGGACCCTGACAGCACGGAACCTGACTTGACAAGCAGCATCGGCTTTCCCATCAAAACAGTCCCCTCCACAGCCACCCAGAACTCCTCTGCTCCAGCTTCATTTCCTTTTTTCTCCAAAGACCTTGAGCCTTGACCTTTCATTTTAACATAAATTGGTTGGCAGTCAGCTGGGAATAGATTTATACAATATACTGGATGGAATAGTGACCTTATTTGGAAATAGGCTCAGTGCAAATGTAATTAGGATGATGCCATACTACAGTAGGATAGGTCCTTAATCCAATGACTGGTGTCCTTATAAGAAGGGACCCAGAGATACAGGAAGAGAATGTCATGTGAAGATGGAGTAGAGACTGCAGTGATGTATATACAAGCCCAGGAAAGCCAAGGATTGCCAGCAACAGGCAAGCTGGAAAAGACAAGGAAGGATCCTCCCCTAGAGCCTTTGGAGAGAACACAGCCCTGCCGACACACTGATTTTGGAATTCTAGCCTCTAGAACTGAAAGAGAATAATGCTCTGTTGTTTGTCATCTCTGATTTGTCCCAGCAGCCCCAGAGTACATATGAGGAGGAGGCAGAGATTGTGGGAAGTGCAGGATCTCCAAGACAGCTCTGTGTCTTCCCGCTCGTCCTCAACACCATTTGCTTACCCCTGTCCAGCACCTTCCGGGCCTCCCTGACAGCACAGTCCTCCTGCTGTCGGTAATATATCTGTACTGATGCTGCCTCCTGCCACTGGACCAGGACCTACAGGCGGGCGAGGAGCAGAGTGAGGGTCACTATGCTGCCTGGCTTCTGAGGACACCCGGTCTGTGGTGGTGGCTCCTCATAGCTGGCTGCCTTTTGGCCCTGAATGTTCCAGGAAGCGCCTGCCATCCTTGCAGACCACAACAATAGCACAGGGCCCAGCATCCTGGCCAGTATCTCGGGGACTGGGCCTTTTCTACCAGAAGGATTTAAACTTCATACTAGAAGTAAAGCCCTTACAGGAGCTTCAATTCTATTATTTGATAAATGCACTCTTTCATGTAAGAAATACCTATGAAATCACAGTAACAAACCTTTAAAAAGAAGTCAGGCCTCGGGAAACCTGGTGCCTGCTCCACTGACAGTCATGGACTCCATTCCTACCAAAAAGGCCTCCTCCCTTCCAAGTTATAAAGCCCAGCAGATTCCTGTCTTACTTCCAAGTGAGGGGAGGCAAAGGCTGGCCTTGGGATTTTCCTGAGAACAGACTGGGCCTTGGCCAGATGCAACTGTTCCTCCTCCACGGAAGCTTCAAAGCTGTCAGAACCAGTTCCCGAGGGCCTTCCAGCAGGTGACTGGCTGCTGCTCAGGGCTCCTGGCAAACTGCTTTCTTCTGAAATATCCCCGGGTGCAGGGACTTCCTCTGGCATTCCATTTCTGTTTAAATCTCCTCTTTCTTGTAACATGTTTTCTTCCCATAGCCACATCCCGCCCTTCCTGTCCTCAACACATAGGACCATTCCTGTCATGTGCGTGTTTTCCCCCAGCTATCCCAGTCAAGAGAACCAGGTAGTGGTTTGCCATCATTTCCCACTGAAAGTGACCAAGAACCTCACATTCTCAGGATACTCTGTGGAACTTGTGAGGTCGACAAGCAGGAGCAAGCATACACTTTTGGCAGATGAGGAGATGGAAGTTCAAAGACTAACATGGTTTATTCCAGTGGGAAGTTCCAAATGTGTAGAAAATATTAGTTTTGATAAACACTAGTCCACTTACTATGTGCTGTGTTTTAATGACTACTGGTTCATAATGCAGTAAAAAAACAAACACCTGCCTACATGGATGTATGTGTGTGAACAGGAGGTATCACACTGTCACATATTTTTAGTTCCTTGTTCAGCTCAAATCTCTGGTACCACCCTGAATCTGATGGCCTCACCAGAAGACGGTCCCCAGCCCTCTTGGGTGACAGCTTGCCCAAGGGTACCTCACCTTGAAACACATGGTCTTTCTGTAGTGAGCACTTGCTTGAGAAGTTTTTTTGGCTTCATCCACACGGGCCAGGGTGTTTTCTCTCCAGTGACATACCACACCCCTACAGGTGCATGGGCGGGATGAGGGCAGATGACACCAAGAAGGAGAGATACAGGAGGCTTTCATGAATCAGTCCTAGTTCTTCCTCAGCCCGAGTCAAGGACTCTACATCTAAGAGTGTCTGTTTCACCAACACCCATGGCTACTCGCATGCCTACGTCCAACAAATGGCTCCTGAGCAGTTACTCTGGGCCAGGTTCTGGGTGACCAGAATCCAGGTCTTCGGGAGTGTATGTGCTACAGGGACACAGGGCGTAACCAGACAAGGACAACACAGGTGACTCACACTGTGGCAAGAGAAGTGCAGAGAGATAGGGGAGCTAGAGGAAGGGCACCTGCACCTCAGCAGTGTGTTTGTTGCTGAGTTAGCTCAGGGAGTCCCTCTTTCTTATTCCATTCTGTCTGAGGAGCAGGATAGGCACTTTATGGGACCCCAGAGGAGGGACAGGTGTTTTTAAGGTCCACGGGGCCCACTGCCCACTTGAGTAGCGTGTTCTGAACAAATACGAAGGAAGGAATAGAAAGAGGGGAATGTGGGAGCCTACAGGAGTGGGTTTAGACCTCAGCTTAGTAGGAATGGAGGAAGCTGCAAAAGTGCTCCCCAAAGGGGTTGCGATGCAGATGGTCCTACAGGGCTTAGAGGTGACTCTAAGAGTCAAGACAGGCCTGGAGAGCAAGCTGGAAGGGACTGCCTGGGAACTGACAGGAATGGGAGTGGGAGAGGGGATGAAAACCTGAATCTTGTGGGTCGTGAAGCAGGGAAGGAAAAAGTGCTCAGAGGAGTATGACAAGCAGCCTCATGGGGAGGCATATGGGTGAGAGCTGCCTTCCTAGGCTCTACCCTGCACCCAGCAGGGGCTCAAGACAATCTAAGTGAACCAGTGAATGAAGTGTTTACTTAGGAAGGCCAAGACCACACTCTGAGCAGTACGAGGTACCCAGGCCTGTCTCCGCCTGGCCCTCGGCAGGACTCCTGGAAATGCTGGGGTCTGTTCCTTATTCCCCACCCTAGGCCCTAGGAGACACTTGGAAGACTCACCGCAGCAGATGCCTGTGGTGCTGGCTCTCCCTGATGGCCACCTCCTGGAGGACGCTCCGCACCCTGCCCTGGTAAGTCTGTGGGGGATGAGGAGGACTGGACTCACACTACTTCCGTTCAGGTAGCCTTCAGAGCTATGTTTACAACAGGGGCTGCTGTGCCCAAAGCACTCACAAAGGGCAAGGAGAGGCCAGAAGCCCCTGGTCTCAGCACCAGATGATAGGGAGAAGACTGCCTCATAGCCCTCAACTAAGAAGTCAGATCAGTGGACTCCTGAACAAGGAGCTGCTTTTACTGGAAAGCTGGTACCCACAGAAAACACTTGTGTTCACTTTGCCCAGCAAGGATCAAAAAGCCCTGAGCTATATGCATATATGGGGCATTTGTTGTTTTAAGTTTGCTTGAATTACTGTTTTGGGAGGGGCAGGAAGAACAAGGAAGGAAAACAGCATTTCTAGCAACTTCCCCTGCCCCCACAGCAAGGAGAACTGGAAGAAAGAAGCAGCTCCTACCACCCACTTCTGCAGCACCCTGTGCTGCAAGGCATGCTGGTAGTACAGGTCTGCTTGCATCAGCTTCTGTTGCTCGGCTCCCCACAGGACCAGGCACTGCGGACAGAGGAGAAAGTGGCCCCCTATGGGCAGAGGGCTGAGGTGGGGGTGGCTTCCAGCCTTTACTCTTATTTCATACTCAGTCTGTGTGAGTACAGGGTACTTAACTCTCTGACCTTGTTTCCTCAACTACAAATGCGTGCTTCTTAGGGCTCTTGTGAGGACCAAATGAGGCAAGTACCTGATTTAGGGCAAATGCTCTATCAATGTCAGTGTAGACATTTTTTACCCTCAATAGAATTCCTATAAATGGTTAGATCAGGAATTTTAGATTCAGTCAGTTTAAGTAAGAACAGCCTAGCACTTAAAAGAACATAGAATTTTGAGCCAATCGGCTCACAATACTGAATTAACACTTCATCTGCTGTCTGCTCTCTTCTTTTAGCTCAGAGGCAGGTGGTTTCCAAGGGATAGCTGAGTAGCCATATGTCTGTTCTGAATCACACTGGCACACAGCTCCACCCATCCAAATCCACACTCGGCGGCACCTGCACCAAAGCCTTACCTGCCTCCACTGGTCCCAGGCCCAACGCAGGATCCGTGCCGAGTGGAACTCCACTGCCTGAGCCTTGCCCATCCTCCTGTGGGGAGACAGGAGCTCAGTGCTGCGTCCCACATCCTGTAAGGGTGCTCTCCATGGCTCCCCTTCACAGTGCCTGGCTCCTACCTGGCTAAGTTTTTAGGGGAGTCAAGACCCTCTATGAAGAGCTGCCAAAGGTTTGTGCTCTCTCAGAAAAGTGCACAAATAATCAAAATTTTGCCTGCAACTTCCTAGAGCTTCAAATGCCACTGAAGTTCCCATGCGCAGGTATGCTGAAGCCCCCAGCTGGCTAGACTTTGAGAGGAAGTGAGATCCTCACAACACACAGTGGGTACAGAAAGTGGACATGTGGGCTGTCTCCTCTGCCCTCTCTAACTATATAGCATGGTAAATACTGTCACAATCTGCTGCTTGCCTCACACAGTTGGTCCCAAGGTGGTCAGCTATCTCAACATGGGCCTATCAGTCTATTCCCTGGCTTGGTCACTTCAAAAGGGCCCCAACTAGTAAGCAGGATGTAGCCAATAGGCAAGAAAGACCTCCTGGATCCACAGAGCACTCTTGCCCCCCAGACATATTCCTGAGCGTGGGAGCCACATGAACTTCTAGGCCAACACAACCCTCTGGACAGGTACTCGGAGCTAGTGGTGTGGCTGCTATGGTCAAAGCTGGCCTGGGGTGGAAGGGCTTCTGAGGCAGCACCAGCCACTCACTCTGTTCTAAGCCCCTGGGCACTTTCCCTCCAGAGGCAGAAAGTGTTCTTGAGCCGCCTGTGGCGGTGATGGGCACAGGCTACTGTTTGCCACTCCCACTCCCGGTGACGTGCTGCTGTGTGCTGGCGCCACGTGGACCAGCACCTACGCAGAAGCTGCTGCTCTGCTTGAAGGATGGCCTATGGCAGAACGGGAAGGAAAGAACAGAACAAGTCAAGTGGGAGGTGGGTACAGAAACCAGAAAAGAATCTACAGGCCATTAGCAATGACCAAGGCAAAAGAAATGGACATTCAGGAGGTGCCTTGGCCCAGAAGCCATCCCTAAACTCCACTGACAAAGGACAGGATGCCCCAGAGCCTGCTGCTGCCTTGAGTCACAGCAGGAGCTCTTCAGTGTGGGTCCTGGTTCCAACAGACTTCCCAAGGAGGGGAGGCACTGAGTGCAAGGGCTAAGCCAAGCCCTGCCCCTCCCAGTGCCTCCTCAGGGACAGTCACTTACCATTCTCTCTGCCAAGCGGTTTTCTCGGTGCTGAAACATCTTCTGCCACCAGACAGCAAATACTTGCTTTTCTAATGTCTCTCTATTAAAAAAAGAAAAAGAAAAAAGAAAGGAAAAGAAAAATGTAAAGCACTTAAAACAAAAAACTCAAATAGTAGTAATTCCAAATAAATGGATCTTCTCTCTTATACTGAGCTGTTGTGTAAGTTACAAATAAGCTTAAATAACAGAGAAAGGAAAGAAAACAGAAAGGATATTTGGTTACATCTTTTTGCTATTGTGAATAGTGCTGCAATAAACACGCATGCCCAAACTTCACCTGTACGATGACCACTTATGTACTCGACCTTGAATTGTACCCCACATCTTTAAAATAAAAACATTTAAAAAATAAATAGAAAGAAGATGGAAAAGAAAGCAGACAATAGCCAAAAAACCAATATCACAAAAGCCCAACATTTTCCAGGTTACTTCTGGTATCAGCCAAGACTTCACTGGGTGTGAGAAAGGCTCAGATTCTGAGAATTAGATCTTCATTGATTCCACATTGACTTAACACTGATCAAGGATCATTAGCGAAGGTCTCTCCACTGCATGCTGACCAGCTGCTACACCAACTCTCAGGTGACTGTTTAAAAACAAGGGCCAGGCTGCTAAGGCCGACTAGTAGGTCTGAAACGGGCCCTAGGAAACAGTATTTTAAACAAGTGTCCCAGCTGAATTAGACAGGTTTGGGAACCACTGCTTTGTCACCTCTTCCTAGGCCTACCTACTCCCCTTAATGACACCAAATTCTGTAAAAGCAGCACTGGAACAACTAATCAACAGTTACTAAGGGCTACATATTTGCAAAGCCATGAGGACCAATGCTTGGTGCTAGGGAGATCTTGCTCCCCTGGCATTTAACAAATGAGACACATCACTCAAAGCAAAGAATTCCACTTCTAGCCACAATAGTCACTGGTCCTGGACCTGCCTTTCAGTCATATATTACAAAACTAGACAAAATATATGTGGCAACTGTTTTCTTTTGGTGGGGGGTGGTTGGCCATTTGTTATATTGTCTTTGGAGAGATGTCTAATCAAAGCATTTACCCATTTTTATTATTTATTTATTTTTCATGTCAGATGGGTAATGTGACATTGTAACAAGGTTTCAGGGTGACACATCTCATACATGCATGTGAAAATTCCATCATCATGCTTATGAGCTACAAAAGGAATCATTTACCCATTATAAAACTGATTATTGTTTGTTAAATTATATGAGCTATTTATTTGTTTATTTTTTTGTATTTTAGAGTTGTGAGGTACAAGTGGGGATTTACTACATAAGTAGGTTGCATACAGGTGAAGTCTGGGCTTCTAGTTGGCCCTCACAGTGGACCTGGTACCCCATGTGGTGGCAACTGTTTTCATGCAGCCATAGGTAGGGCCTATTTTGATGGCTGAGATAGGAAACATGCAAGGTGAGTCCCTAGGTCGCCTAGGCTTTCTGCCTGGGGGCATTTTCTGAACAGTGCGGGGGAGGGAGGCCAAGCAGGGAAGGCCAGTCCCCTGAGCTGAGAAGGTAAAGATTGGAGTTGAGGACTGCTAAAGGGGTTGGAATGCGGGGTCAATACCTAGTAGAACTGTGGGAGTGGGGCCAGCCCTGAGACCCCAGAACTGTAGAACCACCAGTGTGGAACTCTAGCCTGGGAGAGCTGCAGGCACAAAACTCCAACCCCTGCCCCAGTGTATCTAAAAAGTGGGATATGGAGTCATGGGAGATTATTCTCTGGTTTTAAGATTTAATGTTGGTCATTGCTTGGTTAAACTCTGGTGTGTCCATGTGGCTCTTTGAGCTATGGTTGGCATGTTTTCTAGCTTTGGCCCCCTCCCCTAGCGTGGGGAAGTGAATCTTCTCTCTCTCTCTTTCTACTTTTTGGCCACTGCCTTGCTAAGTACTGGCCAGGCTATGTTCTCACTGAGCTATGGCCAGGTCAGGTTTCCTAGCTTTGGCCCTCTCCCCTACCTTAAGGAGGTGAATCTCCTCTCTCTCTAATTTACTAAGTAAACTATATTTTCCAATCTAACTTCTGTGCAATTCTTTGCATCTTTCTCACAGCACTGGATCACACAATTGACACCCCCCCATCGGGCCTGACCTAATATTTTGGAGGCCTCGCTGGGATATATTTTTACCTTTATTTAGCTACTATTACTCAAACTTTGAAATCACTTTTATGAGGATCTGGGTGCACTGTTTAATTCTGTGTTGTTTAACTTTCTTCATGTTTGTGATAAATATATGTATGTTTCGAACTACATCCATGTAAGTATAAAATCCCCACACATAGGTACATTAGACTGGAAGTTCCTGGAGAAATTACATTTCTTTGTATCTCCTATGTTGCATCCAGTACAATGCCTTCACAAATAAATTTTTTGAGAAATAAACTTAATTTAACTAGTCAAATAAACTCACTTTTTTTTTTGTCCTGGAGGAAATACTTTTAACTCAGTTTAAAATATGCTGATAATAATGAACATGCAATGTCACCAATTTATAAGTCAGAAAATAAAAAAGGTTTAAGCTACAGAACTAGTAGAACATACTTTCCCTGCAGAGGGACCATTAATGTGACTTGTGTGTTCTAATTAAGCTTTTCTTTTTTTAAAGCTCAGCACTCAGATCTGCATTCTTACGTGATTAATATTTACTACCATACTTTTATGCAGATCATATGAAAAATGAACCTTACATGCCAGGATAACTTGCAAAAAATTACTATTCATCACCATGAATAAACAGGCCCACAACTATAACAGTGTCCACTGGAAAAAGTGAAAAAAAAAAAGAAAAAGTTGTCACTAAGGTCATGTAAAATTTTACATGAAAAGGGGAAAATAATTCATTTTTACACACATACACAAAATTTTTTTTTAAAGATTTCAGGTTGTTTTCCCTATTGGGTTTTGAACCTATTTGGGTCCAGTTACCCCTTTCTTCCTACCTATGTCTCCCTTTTGTAATGGGAATGTCTATCCTAACCCATCACTGTATTTTGGAAACAGATAGCTTGTTTGATTTTCCAGGCTCACACCTGGAGGAATTTGCCCCCGGTGAAATTGTGCCTGGAGTCTCATCCATATCTGATTTAGATTAGACTCTGGACTGTGAACTGCTGAGTTGGTGCTGAAATGAGTTAAGACTTTTGGATGGAATGAATATATTTTGAAAAGAAGAATATGAGTTTTGAGGAGGCAGAAATGGTATGGTTTGAATGTCCCCATAAAACTCATGTCGAAATTTAACTGCCATTGTAACAGTGTTGAGAAGCCAGGACCTTTAAGAGGTGACTAGGTCATGATGGCTCCACTCTCATGAATGGATTGCTGTTATGGTAGAAGTGAGTTAGTTATCTTGGAAATGAGCTAGTTATCATGGGAGTGGACTCCTGATAAAAACAGTCCAGCCCTCTTGTCCTCCTGCTGTCTCATGCACTCACTTGTCTTCTGCTAGGGGATCATCATCAGATATTGGACGCTCTTGGACTTCCCAATTTCCAGAACCATAAATCAAAATAAATCTGTTCTTTAAAAATTACCCAGTCTGTGGTATTTGTTATAGCAGCAGCAAATGGAATATAACGAAAAGTGAAGCAGCTTAACATATCATCTCACAATTACTTTTTTTAATAACAAGAGCAGCTAAAATCTACTTATTTAAAAAGGGATGACAAGCCGGGCTCGGTGGCTCAGCCTGTAATACCGTGCCTTTGGGAAGCTGACGTGAGTGGATTGCCTGAGCCCGCAGGTTCGAGACCCACCTGGGCAACTTGGCGAGACCTCATCTCTACAATAAATCAAAAAAAATTAGCCGGGCGTGGTAGTGTGTGCCTGTAGTTCCAGCTACTTGGAAGGCTGAGGCGGAAGGATCGCCGGAGCCCAGCAGGTCGAGGCTGCGGTGGCTGGGAGCGGCCACTGCACTCCAGTCTGGGCGACAGAGTGAGACTCCAACTCTAAAAAAATAAAAATGAAAAAATAAAAAGAGATGACAAGCATAATCCCAGCACTTGGGGGCAAAAGTGGGAGGATTGCCTGAGCCCAGAGGTTTGAGACTAGCTGGGCAACTTGGCAAGACCTTGTCTCACAATAAATAAAAAACTTAGCCAGGTGTGGTAGAGTGCACCTGTGGTTCCAGCTACTTGGAAGGCTGAGGTGAAAGAATCTCCTGAGCCCAGCAGGTCATGGCTGCAGTGGCTGTGAGCATGCCACTGCACTCTAGACTGGGTAACATTTAGACTCCCATTCAAATCAAAACAAAACAAAACAAAAAAGACGACTAAAACTAAAAAGTGAATTTAGAAAGGCCATGGAATACAAGGTACCAATTGTATTTCTATATACTAGGATCAATTAGAAAATAAAATTTAAAATTAATTGCATTTATGATAGCATCAAAAATAAAGAATATTTAGAAATAAATTTAACAAAATACATATAAAACCCTTACACAAAATCATAAAACACTGCTGCAAAAAATTAAAGAAAATCTAAATAAAAGGAGAGATGTACTAGACTCAATGCAATCACAATCAAAATCCCAGAAGGATCATTTGTAGAACCTGGCAACTTGATTCTAAAATTTATATATTCCAGTTATAATGCATATACAAATAGAATAGATAAAACAATCCTGAAAAATAGAAAAATTTAAAGACTCGCTATAAGGATTCAAAACTTATTATGAAGATACAGCAATCAAGACAGTGTAATAATGACATAAGGACAGACAAATATTAATAAATAAAGAAGAGAAAGTCCAGAGATAGGTACAAACTTATATAGCCAACTGATTTTCAACAAAGGTGCCAAGGCAATTCAATGGGGGAATAAAAAATCTTTTCAACAAATGGTGCTGGAAAAAACTGAAAAAAATAAACCTTGACTCCTACCTCATACCATACACAGGAAAAAAATCATGATGACCACAAACCTAAATGTAAATGCTAAAACTACAAAATTTCCAGAGAAAATGTAGAAATATAGCTTTTGAGATCTTGGAGTGGCAAATATTTCTTAAAGAAGACTTCAAAATCACTAACCATAAAAGAAAAAAATTGATACTGTCAAAAAAATTGCATTGTCAACATCAAATACTTCTGCTCATCAAAAAATACTGTTTGGCCTGTAATCCTAACACTTTGGGAGGCTGAAGTGGAAGATTGCTTGAGGTCAGGAGTACATGACTAGCTAAGACAACAGAGTAAGATCTTGTCTCTACCAAAAAAAAATTTTTTTTAATTAAGAATCTCATTCTGTCACCCGACTAGAGTGCAGTGGCATGATCACACCTCCTCTCAGTGATCACTGGTAACTGATCACTGCTCTATTACCAATGATGGCCCAGACATGCTTTGCTATTTTCATTTGTTACTAAGGATATCATGACAGTATTAAATTCCAAGTGAATTCCAGTTTCTCCTAGTCCCTCCTAAACAGCAACCAACCCAGAACTGATCCCTGCTTCTCTTAGACCCTCCTCAGAATCCTGTGGGAACCCAAACCTTACAAAGACACTTCCCTCCGGTAGGATAGCATTGCAGAGTTATACTAGAATTCCCTCCTAGGGACAACCCGATTTTGTCAAACCACAGGCTTTTGTTCCAGACTGATTAAGATTTAGTAAGGTGTTCAACATCATTTGTCACCAGGGAAAACAGTACTTTGCACCCACTAGAATGACTAAATTAAAAAGACTGACAATACCAAATGTTAGTGAAGATGTGGAGCAACTGGAAGTCTCATATTCTCGTATTTCTGGTTGGAGTATAAAATGATACAACCATCTACAATGTTAAACATATACCTACCCTATGATCCAAAAGTCTACTACTAGGTACTTACCTAACAGCCGGGCATGGTAGCACACGCCTGTAAGTGCAGCACTTTGGGAGGCAGAGGCTAGGAGATGGATATTAGCCTAAGCAACACAGCAAGACCCCCATCTCCACAAAAACTAGTTTTAAAAAAGTATCCGGGGCCAGGCACAATGGCTCAAGTCTGTAATCCCAGCACTTTGGGAGAGCAAGGCAAGAGGACTGCCTGAGCCCAGGGGTTTGAGACCAGCCTGGGAAACTTGGTGAGACCTTGTCTCTACAATATAAATCAAATGATAAGCCAGGCATGGTGCACACCTGTAGTTCCAGCTACTTGTAAGGTTAAAGGTGGAAGGATCGTCTGAGCCCAGCAGGTTGAGTCTGCGGTGCCCATGAGCGTGCCACTGCACTCCAGCCTGGGCGACAAAGTGAGACTGAAACTAAAAAAAAAAAAAAAAATTTTCCGGGCATGGTGGCATGCACATGTAGTCCCAGCTACTCACAGGCTGAGGCAGGAGGATCACTTGAGCCCAGGAGCTTGAGGCTGCAGTGAGCTGTGACTGCACCACTACAATCTAGCCTGGGCAACAAGAGTGAGACTCTGTCTTCTAAAAATAACTAAATAAATAAAAGTCCAGTAATTTTTACTGGCTACTTGTAGTATGGTAACAACAAAAACAAAATATGTCCACTAAAATAAATATTTATAGCAGCTTTGTTCATAATAGCTTCAAACTGAAAACATCTCATATGTAAAATGGATCAACATACTGTCATATTCATATAATATGATTCAGCAAATAAAAGACTGATTTACTAAACACATGGAACAATATGGTTCAATCTAAAAAATATTATAAACTTTAAAAGCCAGATATACAACAAGGGTACCTGCATAATGAATATTTGTATACCTAACCCTGAATTGTACCCCACATATCTAAAATAAAAAATTTTTTAAAAAAAGGCAGACATAATAGAGTTCATATTGTATGATACCATTATATGAAGTTCAAAAACATGCAAAATTAACCTAGGATGAATGAAATCAGAACAGTGGTTACCTTTGGAGGGCAGAGATTGACTAGACGGACACATAAAGGGACTTTCTGTGGTGATAGAAATGTTCTATGTCTTGACTGGAGTGTTGATTATCCAGGTGCAAAATTTGTGAAAACTTTTCAAACTGTTTACTTAACATCTTTGCCTTTCACTTATATAAATTTTATCTCAATTAAAATAAAAGACCAATCAGTTCTGTCTCCTCAGTATATTTCACTGGCAGGTTAATACATTATTTTTGCTCACAATTTATGAGGTTCCACCATAAATTCTGTCTGTATTCCTAAGACATTTTAAAAATAACCTTAAGAGTATATAAGATACATACTTATTTGGAACTTTAATTTGTTAAACTCCAAACCAAGTTTATGAATGTTTACTTTTCATAAATGAGAGTCACAAATCAAAGTAATTCCAGGGGCTAGTGGTATAGGTAATATTTTGGGCTAGGCACTCTACTTTTTTTTTTTTTTTTTTAAGTTGAGATCTCACTCTGTCACCCAGGCTGGAATGCAGTGGCATGATCATGGCTCACCATAGCCTTGAACTCCTGGACTCAGGCAATTCTTCTGCCTTAGCCTCCCGAGTAGCTCGGACTACAGAAACACGCCACCATTCCCAGCTTATTTTTTTTGAATTTTTTGTAGAGACAAACTCTTGCTATATTGCCCTGGTTGGTCTCAAACTGTTGGGCTCAAGCAATCCTTCTACCTTAGCCTCCCAAAGTGTTGGGAATACAGTCACAAGCCACTGTGCTTGGCCTGCTTGTATTTTATATGTATTATCCCATTTAATTTTCATGATAACCCTATAAGATAGGGACTATTATCAAATCATCTCCATTTTACATTCAAGGAGACTGACGCTCAGAGAGACTGACTGAAGACCCAGAGTCACAGAGTTGGGCAGGTGGTATGGCATAGGTCTGAACTCAGGCATGTCCAGCCTGATTGGAGCCAGGCTCTCAATCAGTCTTCTCATAAACAAGGGAGGCAGAAACATGAAAATTTAAGTTTTCTAAAAAGGTCCAATTAAATCAAAACTGGACAAAATCTAGATTAGGCCTTTACCATCCTGCAAGTCTCCTGGCTACTCCCTGTCTCCAATTCACACCCTTTTGTCTCCAGAGTGACAGCTCTAAAATTACCCAAGCCTACTCCCCAGCAAAAACCCTTTTAGAGGCTCCTCTTGGCTACTTTAAAGATACCCTCAATTTTTGGACCCCACAGCATGCAAAATACAAAAGAGAAATAGAACCAAGCACGACTTCTCGTTAGCAAAGAAAATAAAGGACTGTATGTGTTTTAAGTGCTGAAGTCATTTTTCAAATGAATCTTATACCAGACTGCAGTATAGGAACTAGATAAAGGCAAACCTGCAGGAGGAGGGGAAGAGGTGAGAGCTGTCCTCTGGTCAGCTGCTACTCCCTGTGGCCACCTCCTGAAAACATCTACTTGGTCTCTGTGCTAAGGTGCCCAGAGTTTTTGCTAATCTTCTCAAACTAGCATTTGGAGTTCTCCAACTTCAAGATCATTGCAACTTACCACAATACATGCACCTCCAAACTGCCTCTCTGTCCTAAGCTGATGTACACTGTACTCAAGGCAGTCTCCAAAACTGTCACTTAACTAGTTCCATGCACCTGCTCAAACATCTGTCAGTCATCTACCTATAGGGTCACTCCAGCTTTCCTCATCTTGCCCACTTCAGCCACCATCCTCACCCCTTTAGCTCACCAGAAGCTTCTCCCAGATACTTCAATGCTCCCTGGACACCCTCAGGACTAGCTCTGAGTTCTGGAGGAATCTGTGGCTGCCAAAATCGAGGATACATTGATCTATCCTCTTGGATTTCCACTTGTTTCTTGTGTATCAGTCTTATCTCCCCACAAAAATTTTTCCTCCTATAAAGTCATCAAAAAGATCTTCCTCTTGATCAAGTAAAAAGCACCTGGACTTTGGAACTGGAAATTTAAGTTTTCGCCCTGGCTTTGCCACCTACTGGATGTGTTACCATGGGCAAGTCACTTGTCACTGAATCTGTTCTCTCAGGACTGCTATGAGAAGGAAATTATTATTTCCACGCTGGAGTGCAGTGCATGCTCACGGCCATCATAGCCTTGACCTGCTGGGCTCAGGTGATCCTTCTGCTTCAGCTTTCCAAGTAGCTGGAACTACAGGCGTGCACCACCACGCCTGGCTAATTTTTTGATTTACTGTAGAGATGAAGTCTTGCCAAGCTGCCCAGGTTGGTCTCGAACCCATGGGCTCAGGTAATCCTCTGACCTCGGCCCCCCAAAGTGCTAGGATTATAGGTGTGAGCTACCATGCCTGGTCAAGAAGGAAATTACTAGTGAAGATAATAATAGAGAATGAGATTATATATTTGCTTTCTTTCCTTCATCACACAGAGCCCACCACAGTGGCAAACATGCAGTTGGTGATTAATAATTTCTTCATTATATTCCACCATACAGTAAGGACCAGCTATGGGCAAATCTGCCCTGTGGGAGCTAAAAAGATGTAGCTCTGCTCCTTGACTTTTCGAATTTTGTTGATGACTGTAATTCAAGACTTCAAAAAGCCAGGTCTGGCAGAATGGGAACTAAGTGTTTCAGGGAAATTATACTCAAGAATGTTTACAAAGGTGAGGCAAGGTCCCACTGCTCTCTGAGCCGGAAAGCTAATGGGGCAGCTTTAATGGAGTGCTCAGTGGCTTGTAAAGAGGGTTACAAACAGACTGTTTTGAAAGCACTTGCAATAAAGATGGGTAAAAGCTTTCCCAGGGGAAATACTGGCTGTCTTTTGAAATCAATGTGCTCACATTACTGAAAAACCAGGAAGAACCAGGACCTAGGGGGCTGGGCGGCTTAAAAGCAGAGCAAATGAGCTGTGTGGCTGGCAGTTAGACTTGAGATGCTTGCCCTGGTGCAGACAGGAGCTGCACAGCATACCTGTGAAAACATGTTGCTCTGGCAGTGAGGACATGGTCCTGCTGGCTCCATTGCCAGAGTCTACTCCATGTGTGGAAGGCAGCAGGCAGGGCTCTCTGCTGGAAATGACCATCTGCTCTGGCTTGCAACAGCTAAAGGAAAACAACAAATGGCCTTTGTACATTTTTTTACATGACCTTTCAGGGTCACACTCTTGATGGAGGATTGCATCCTATACAATAAAATTGAGGAAAAAAAGAAAATCATCATTTTTTTTTTTTTTTTTTTAAAGAGATGGGGTGTTGCTCTGTCATCCAAGCTGGAGTGCAGTGGTTCGCTGCAGCCTCAAACTCCTGGGTTCAAAGTGGTCCTCCCACCTCAGCCTCCTGAATAGCTGGGACTATAGGCACCCACCACCATGCCCGGCTGAAAATCATTTTTTAATCTTTGCCAATATGCCAAGTGAAAAATAAAATACGACAGGTGATAACAATTTTAATTCTTTAAAAGTGGGTTAAGCATCTCTTTACACACACACTCTCACACACACCACCACCAGTGGCTTAAGTGTTCATACTCATCCATTTCCTGTTTTACTATTGTCAGCATTTAATTCAGTGATATGTATATTTTTTTTATCCTTAATAAATCTGGCCAAGTGCAATAGCTCTGGCCAGGAGCAGTAGCTCACACCTATAATCCTAGTACTCTTGGAGGCCAAAATGGGAGGATCACTTAAGCCCAGTAGTTTGAGAGCAGCCTAGGCAACATAGTGAGATCTTGTCTCTATAAAAAATAAAACATGGTGGCATGCTCCTGTAGTCCCAGCTACTTGTGAGGCTGAGATGGAAGGATCACCTGAGCCCAGTAGGTCAAGGTTGCAGTGAGCTGTGATTGCGCTGCTGCACTCCACCTGGGCAACAGATCCTGACTCAAAAAAAAAAGTTTATTAGTCCTTTATCATGTGTATTTTAAATATTTCTTCCACCCTATGTCTTTTGATTTTGCTTATAGTGTTTATTATACAGATTCTGCAACTTTTATGTAATTATAAAAGTCTACTGTTTCAGGGCAGTCATGGTACCTCACACCTATAATCCCAGCTCTTTAGGTAGCTGAAGCAAGAGGATCTTTTTGAGTCCAAGTGTTCGAGACTGGCAACATAGTGAGACTCTACAAAAAATTTAAAAATTAGTTGGGCATGGTGGTGTGTGCCTGTAGTCCCAGCTATCCCAGAGGTCAAGGTGGGACTATCACTTGAGTCCAGGAGCTCAAAGCTGCAATGAGCTATGATTACACCACTGCATTCCAACCTAAGTGACAGAGCAAGATTCTGTTTCTAAACAACAACAACAACACAAAACGTCTAATATTTCACTGACATATCAGTAAGAAGACAGACAATGAACATATGAATATACTGTATATGCCTCTATGATCCAAAACTTTGGGAGAACAAAAGGATATAGCAAACACGGCTGTAAATTCTTCGATCCTCCTTCACTGTGAAGTGATCTATGTCCCCACCTCTTGAATCTGAGTGGTATAGTAACTGCTTTCACCTGCTGAGCATGGTAAAAGTGACACTATGTGATTTCTGAGGCTACATAAAGAACCATACAGCTACCGCCTTGTTCACTGGAGCACTCACTTTTGAAGCCCTGGTATCTGCCTACCCTGAGACCACTATGCTAAAAGGAAGAACAAGTCTCAAGGAGAGACCACATACAGGCTCCCTGGCTAACACTCCCAGTTGAGCCCAGTCTTCAAATCATTTCAGTCCAGGATCTAGACATGTTCATGAAGAAACTTCTAGATGACTCCAATTTCCTGCCATTAGAATCTTCTACTCCAGTAAACTTGGAGTAGAAAGCAGCTGTCTCAATTTTTGAGCAAAACAATTCTTAAGCATAATAGAATGGTTGTTTTATGTCACTGAGTTTGGGGTGCCTTTTTACATAGCAATGATAATCAGAACAGTATGCATATGTATGTATATATGAATATATAGGTACATATACTCCTACCCACAGAGGAAAAAAGATACCAGGTTTACTCACCAAATGTTATCTGAAGAGGCAAGATTATGAGTGTCTTTATTTTTTCTTCCTTATGTCATTTTATACTTCCCAAATTTTCTATAATTTATATACATCACTTTTCTTTTTCACTTTTTATTATGGGCATTTTCAAATGTAAGCCAAAGTAGAAGCAATGGTAGAACGAATCCCCACAAACCTATCATCCAGCTTTAACAGTTAGCAAACATTTTGCCATCCTGTGTACATTTGTCCCTTGATACCCAAGGAGTATTTATTTCAGGAACCTACCGCCACCCCAGATACCTAAATCCACAGATACTCAAGTCCTTTATATAAAATAGTTGGCTGGGTGTGGTAATAATTGCTGTAGTCCCAGGTACTCAGGAAGCTGAAGCAGGAGGATCATTTAAGCCCAGGGGTTCAAGGCTGTGGTAAGCTATGACAACACCACTATATTCTAGTCTGGGAGATAGAGTACAGTGTAGCATAGACCCTGGCTCAAAAACAAATAAATAACTAAAATGTTATAATATTTGCATATTATCAGCACAACCCTCCAGTATACTTAAAATCATCTCTAGATTACTTATAATACCTAATACAACATAAATATTATGTGAACAGTTGTTATGCTGTATTGTTTAGGGAATGGTGACAAGAAAAAAAAATCTGTATGTGTTCAGTACATATAAAATCATCCATTTTTTTAAAAGAATACTTTCAATCCATGGCTCGCTGAATCCACAGATGTGGAACCCACAAATATATTGGGATAATTGTACATTACTTTTTAAAAATAAAAACCACAGTAACTAATATTTTAATCTTCCAAGAATAGAAAGATGTGCTTCTGGGATACCTAAATCAAGAGATGATATTGATATTCAGATTGTTAGCTAAAGGTTTAAAAACAACTAAGCAGTGCTCTTACTATTTTTCAGACTTGTGCCTTTGAAAACGGGTCATGTTAGAGTAGCACAAGAGATAACGCTGACCCTGGACTTTCCACCAGTACTGGGTCAAGGAGAGCTCTCTCTTTATAGGAAGAAAATAAAAGAGACCCTCTACTTTCCATCTTGAATAAACACAACCTTTCAACCCTTACACTCACAGTTTTTTTTTTTCTTTTGACTCAGAGTCTCACTCTGTTGCCGAGGCTGCAGTGCAGTGGCATGATCACAGCTCACTACACCGTCAACCTTCTGGGTTCAGGAGATCCTTCCACCTCAGCCTCCTGAGTAGCTAGGACTATAGGCATGCAACCACCATGCCCTGCTAATTTTTTGATTTTTTTGTAGAGATGGGCATCTCACTATGTTGCCCAGGCTGGTCTTGAACTGGGCTCAAGCAATCATCCCGCCTTGGTCTCCCAAAGTGCTGGGATTACAGGTAGGAGCCACTGCACCAACCTTAACATTTTTGCTTATTTGTTTGTCTTTCAGAGACAGGGTCTCACTCTGTTGCCAGGCTGGAATGCAATGGCACAACCACGGCTCACCACAGCCCTGACCTCCTGAGTTCAGGCAATCCTTTGCCTCAGCCACCCAAGTAGTTGGGACTATAGGTATATGTCACCACACCTGGCTAATTTATATATGTGTGTTTTTTAGAGATGGGTCTTGCTACGTTGCCCAGGCTGTTCTTGAACTCCTGGACTCAAGTGATTCTCCCAGCTCAGCCTCCTAAAGTACTGGGAATATAGGCATGAGCCACTGTGCCCATTCTTCAGTCTTTTTCTAAAAGGCCTCCCGGCCAGGCATGATGGCTCAGGCCTGTAATCCCAGCACTTTGGGAGGTGGAGGTGAGAGGACTGCCTGAGCTCAGGGGTTTGAGACCAGCCTGAGCAACATGGCGAGATCTAGTCTCTACAATAAATTAAAAAATCAACCAGGCATGCCTGCGGTTCCAGCTACTTGGAAAGCTGAAGCAGAAGGATCACCTAAGCCCAGCAGGCAGAGGGTGCGGTGGCTGTGAGTGTGCCACTGCACTTCAGCATGGGTGACAGAATGAGACCCTGAGTACAAAAAAAAAATTTTGTAAAAAGGCTTTCTTATATACTGTTGAGCTTGCATTAAATGAATTTAAGAGAATAAGTTGGTGATGTCCTTTCAAAATCAGCCACATAATCCAAAGGGATGTCAATTAATGCAGTGACTATAAACATTTCCTTGGTATAAGAGGCAAAGTGACACCAAAACAAGCCATGCCCTGGGTTAGGACCACCCAAACTCTAAGAACCGAGACAGTTATTGGGAAAAAGCCTGAAGTGATCAGAGGCAGTTCATTCATTCATTTGTGCACTAGTTTAATCTAAGTATTAGTCGGCACATACCCCATGCCTAGCTTTGTGTCAGGCTATGGAGGAAACAGAAACAGGCTGTGCTCTAAAAAAGCTCATAGACTGGCAGGAGGGGCAGGTCAGTGACCAACTATGTGATGAATGTTCTGATAAAGCTAGGGAAGTGAGGGTGGGCTGGGCTGGGGAGAGGTGACCCCTGAGCTGGAGGATAGTGAGGAATAGAGAACTACAGGTATGATGAGAAGCAGGAGAGCACAGAGGACCACTGGCCCTTTAACTGGTGAGAATGCAGATGTGAAGGAACAGAGTGGTTATAGGAAAGGGAGAGAAACAGACAGGGACCAGTTCTCAAAGGAGTTTGTAGGTCTCATTAAAAATTTGGATTTTATCCCCAAACCATGGAAATCAGTCAAAGTCTTTAGATTCCCATGTTAAACTCTAGCAGCAGATGGAGGTGGGCTGGGGAGGGCAGCACATCAATAACTGTGAGGAGCTTAGTTTGTGTCTTCCTCTGTTTCACTGCAGAGGGATGGTAAAAAAGGGGCACTTCTTCCTGCAGTGCCCATGCAGATGTCATCAAGTGGACACATATTCCCACTGAGTCTAAACGTGGCCTCAAAATCCTTCTCACTTCAGCATTCCAGACAGTTACTCTCAATCATTAGAACCTGCCTGCAAGACCACACTTATGTGCCACCCTGGTGCGAAGTTATAAGCACTGTGAGAGCAGGAATTTTGTCTTCTTTGTATCACAGTCGTATCATCAGCATTTAGCACAGTGTCTGAGGCACAGCAGTTGCTCAATGAGTATTTCTTAAATGGAATGGAATCTATCTTTCTCACTCTGCCTTTACTAACTTGTCATCCTGACCCCATGTCCTCCCACCGTGGGGGACCTGTGTTTCACAAGGTTTAGTACCAGGATACAGCACATATGCTCTGCACCTCTCTCAATAACTCCTGGATGATGGACTGGCTCACTTATATAATAAATGAACCTGAGTAAAAATGTGAAAGGCTGATAAGAGCTTAGGACTTTCAGAGTGTACCTGCATTTTCTTTTTTTATTTTTTGAGTTAGAGTCTCACTCTGTCACGCAGGCTGGAATGCAGTGGCATGCTCACAGCCACCACAGTCTCGACCTGCTAGGCTCAGGTGATCCTTCTGCCTCAGTCTTCCAGGTAGGTGCCACCACATCTGGCTAATTTATTCTTATCGTACAGACAAGGTCTCACCATGTTGCCCAGGCTGGTCTCGAACCCATGGGCTCAAACAATCTTCTCGCCTCGGCAACCCAAAGTGCTGGGATTACAGGCTTGAACCACCGCCCCCCAGCCCACCTGCATTTTCATAGCAGACAAAGAAATGACAGTTATGCAAACTTTCTGACATCGATAGTGGGGACTGGAGGAAATACCTTTGAGCTTTTCCAACACCCTCTCTTGTTCAAATAAGAACAACAAGACTTCTTGGCATAAGCCTTTCCCAAGTATCTTGCCAAAGCAAATGGATCCAAGAACATAAGCCAGAAGAGCTATCTGCTAAAAAGTACTCCATACCTGCTTGTATTGCCTCTTCTGAATACACTGTAACCACAGTTTGATACACTTGTGCAGCAATGTTATTCTGAAATAAAACAAAGAACACCAAGGTACTGTCCATTCTCACCTTCAGGTTTTTAAAATTTTGTTTTAAGACAGGTAAATCTGGGTATAGATACTTCTTGAGAGTTAAAGGTACTCCATGGGTTTATTAGTTTCAAACATTCTAGGAGAGAGGGAAATAAAAACCTGATATCTACCATGAAATCTGTCAATCCTTGACTTTGGACTGTGGCTTGCCTAAAAATATTGGCAACTTTCTTGTAAGCCTAATTAGATCACCAAGCACAGCATCTCTGGAACATAGGAAATATATATGAAATCCCCCACATATCCTGAACTTTCTGGTTTTATGGTCAAACTCTGGGGCTTACTCAGGTCTATGACATAGTCCCTTTCATACTTGGTTCTATAAACCAGGATTTAGTATAATATACCTTGATAATTCTGAACTGAGTCAGCAGAATATCGGGAATATTAGAATTCTCACTGACTCATCAAAAATGCCAAAAAGGTCAGGCTCAGTGGCTCATCCTTTAATCCCAGTACTTTTGGAGGCTGAAGCGAGTGGATTGCCTGAGCCCGCGGGTTTGAGACCAGCCTGGGCAACTTGGCGAGACCTCGTCTCTACAATAAATCAAAAATTAGTTAGGCGTAGTAGCGCGTGCCTGTAGTTCTGGCTACTTGGAAGACTGAGGCAGAAGGATCACTGGAGTCCAGCAGGTCGACGCTGGGGTGGCCGTGCGTGTGCCATAGCACCCCAGCCTGGGTGACAGAGTGAGACTCCAACTCAAAAAAAATGCCTCCCCCCAAAACCGGACCTGTAACTACGTACATTACATTGATTATACTGTGGGGAGGCAAGGAGAATGAAAGGGAGGTTACAGTGAACATTTCTGTCAGCAAGACAGTTAACACAGAGTGGTTATCTCTAAGGAGTAAGATTAAGGACATGTAGGGAGGGGGCCAGAACACTTTAATTTTTTATGTTATACCTTCCTTACTATACATTCAGAGTTTTCCTCCCAGTTATGTAACACTTTTATTTATTTAACTGACTCACTAGCTCTAAGATATTGAGGACAAGTCAGGTTCAGTGGTGCAAGACTACAGTCCCAGCTATTTGGGAGGTTGAGGTGAGAGGATAGCTTGAGCCCAGGAATTCCAGACTACAGGACACTATGATCAGGTATGTGAATAACCACTGCACTCCAGTCTGAGCAACACAGCAACACTTCATATCAGTCAATCAATCAAATACTGAGGCCACTCCCTTCAGGATGAGTCACAAACATCCCTGGACCCTTCTCTTTGACACTAACAATGCATGAATTCTAAAATGTGAACATCTCAATGCCTGAAGGGGCGTTAAGCTACCAGGCACCTAATTCAGACTACAGTTGCCAAGAACCAGTACAAATATTCCCATTCTACCTCTCATCTGATCTGCCAAAAATAAAATTCAGGAACCACTGGCTTACAGCAGGTCCTCCACCCCAAAAGGCCCTTCTGAATGTACCACACGAATGTGTGGAAGGGTAAGTGGTCAGTCCTGAAAAACACGGGAAGTCTCAAGGTGTCCCTGCTGAGCCAGAAGGACGGAGGCAGCGTCCCTACCTGTAGTGGTCCCAGGCAGCATACAGTAAGGGGAGCTGCTCTCTTTCCTCCCTCTGCTCAATCTGAGACTGCCAGAGGCCCCAGAACCTGCGTAGCAGCTGAAGCAAGACAGGGAGGAAATGGAAATTGACTAAGGTGAAAGGCAAAATAGTGAATCCTTACTCCAACAGACTGTGAGCTTCCCCAAAGGACGAATTACCTCTATCTGGAGCAGCCAACATACAATGGGCTTGCAAAATAATTATGGCTGAACTATAGAGCTATTCTAGACCAACATAAAAGGTAAAAAGATAATGCTTTCAGCCTATGAAAATCTGGATGAGAAAATATTCCTAATCTAGGCCTCATGGAAGACAGTGCTATTTTTAAAAGTCATTTTAGAAATTAAAGCTGATCTTATCGCCTAGTATCACCTATGAAGTAGTCTTGCCAAAAACATTTAACTTCAATCTAATCAGGTCCTCAGACCTAGAATTTAGTTAAGGAAAATTAAATGATGTCAAAGAAAACAATCAGATAAATCCAGAGTATAAAACATTGTATAAAATAACTGACCTCTCCTTTACAAAAAGTCAACATCATTAAAAAAGGTGTACGTTATAATCAATGAAACTAGCCAGTCACAAAAGGACAAATACTGTGTGATTCCTCTTATGCGGTCTCTAGAGTAATCAAATTCATTGTGACAGAAAGTAGAATGGTGGTTTCCAGGGACCAGGGGAAGAGGAAACAGGGAACTAGTGCTTAATGGGTACAGAGTTCCTGTTTTGCAAGATGAAAAAAGTTATGGAGATGGACAGTGGTGATGACTGCAAACAATGTGAATTTACCTAATGTCACTGAACTGTACACGTAAAAATTGTTAAAATGATACATTTTATGTGTATTTTACTACAACTGAAAAATCTTTAAAATGCCAGGCATGGTGGCTCACACCTGTAATCCCATCACTTTGGGAGGTAGAGGCTAGAGGACTGCCTGAGCCTAGGGGTTTCAGACCAGCCTGTGCAACTTGGGGAGACCTCATTTCTACAATAAACCAAAAAATTAGTGGAGTATGCTAGTGTATGCCTATAGTCCCAGCTACTAGGAAGGCTGAGGCAGAAGGATTGTCTGAACCCAGCAGGTTGAGGCTGTGGTAGCTGTGATCATGACACTGCATTCCAGCCTGGGTGAGAGAGTGAGACTCTGACTCAAAATAATAATAAATATTACAAAATGTAAAAATATGTGTTAAAAAAAAAAAGAAGTGTGGTTGTAAAAAGGAAACCATTTTAGAGTAAGAGCTTTAAGAGACATAATAACCAAAAGTAGTTGGTGATCCTTAACTGAATCCTGGTTTGAAAACAGTACCTGTAAAGACATTTTAGGACAAAAGTTAGAATTTGAAAATGGACTGGGTATTGGATATTAAGGAATGACTGTTAATTTTGTTAGAGATGATAATGATATCGTGGTTACATGAAAAAAACATTCTTATCTTTGGGTGATTCATGCTAAATTGTTTATGTGCAAAGTGTCAAGATGTCCCCATAATTTACTTTGAAATGATTCAGTAAGAAAAAATATGAAGCAAATATTATCAATTGTTGAATCTAGGTAATATGTATATAGATGATTATATTATTTTTTCTATTTTTCTATATGTTTGAACAGTTTCATAATAATACCAAAAAAAAAATTATTCTACACCCAGAAATAAAATCTACAAGTAGAGACAATGTTTGGTTGATCTCAGGTAAGCAAACCACTGACTTAAGATAACCAAAGTCTCCTATAATGTAAGACTTAGGTGTATCTGTATCATTGCATCCTCGAGGTCAGGGTTAAAATCCACAGTCCCTGACCTCTGAGTCAACTACCCATTTTCTTAGCAAACAGATAAAAAAAGAGATTAAACAAGCAAGACAAAAAGAGTTTCCATCAGCAGGAAGATTACCAAAGAAAATGGGTATTAAGGTTTTGGAGTCTAAACTCTGGACAAATCTCTAACACAAAGGTTAAAAAAAAAAAGTCGAGCTTAATTTGGAAAGACCAAAAAAAAAAAAAAAAGAGAGAAAAAGAAAATGGCCATCAGGAGAGGTCCCTTGACACAGAAGACAACCCTCACCATGACATCATGCTGCTGGTAAGCGAGATTCCTTCTTATTTGTTGGAGGTGGGCATGGGTCACATTGTCTTTTAGGGCTCTAAAGCAAAAATACTGTGCAAAGAAGAAAGGACATGACAGATTACTAAAACACAATCAGTAAAGTCTATAAAATTAAGAGCAAAGCCAGGCAGTGCCCCAAATCAGGGGAAGAGAAGCATGATCAGAGTTCACAACTCTCACAGCTGCTCCATTTCCCAGAGTGTTTCTCTGGTTTGAGATTCAGATAGGAGCCTAACACAAGCCAGCCTGCACAGTAGGTACTTTGTAAATATTTGCTGGACTATTCCCTACTGTCCATCCATACTGCACAAGAACAAAACACACAGTCACCTCTGACCATGCAAGATCTCCATGACCCAAGTGAGAATTCTACAAACATCAAACATCAAATTTTGCCTCTCAAAAGAGAGACAGACTTTTTGCCTATTTTTTTTTAACCATGTAGGGCCAGTGTGTACATTTATACAATTATAAATACAGTGTTGCTAGAGCAGAATAGAAGGAATGTTTGGTGAGTGGGGGGCTGGGGTAAGACCAGAATATCTGGGACCGGTTTGAGTTCCACCAGTAATGCCTCACATGTGACCTGAGCAAAGGCCATTTGTTCCCCATACCCTGCCACCCCACACCCTGAGCTTCAGTTTCTGAGACAAAAATGAAAAGATGACTAGATCAGGAGTTTTCACATTGCACTCTGTGGAACCCCACAGGCTCCTGAAAGTGTTTGAAGACCACCTCATGTAGCAAGGGAAAGGAAGGGGAGAGTAGCTGGTAGAATAGGGACCAACTCCCAGACCTGCTTCAACCACCGCATCACTACTTTGATCTATAATCTATTTTAGATTAGGCTAAAAATGGATTCCACCATGTCAAAATAAGTCCAGGACTAGACCACCTCTAAGTTCCCTTAATACCAAACCCCTCTGACCCCAGCCCATTACCATCTCTGATCCAAAATGGAAACAGGGACACCCATAGCAAAAGAAAGGTTTCATGAGTAAAGCTGACCCATAACCTGCTGCACTCAATGAATGTGATGGGGGTGGGGAGGTCAGGGCTCCCAAGAGTGGATGCCTAAGCAAGGCTGCTGGGTGGAGCCATGCCAGGCTACAGTGGTTTTACCAGCAGGCTGTGTCTGTGGTGCTCTTCTGCCACTTCACACCAGGCAGCTTCTTCCACACACAGCAGTATGTCTGCCAGGAAGTTAAGGTCTCTAGACTCAACAAGGCTCCCACCCCATCCAGTGCATTTCCAGTCACCCACCAGAAAGGTCATGGTGGTGGGGGTAACAGCACACATGTAGGCTTTGGTCCACCTGTCTCCTCCTGATGACCCAGGGACACAGTGAGCAAAGGGGAACTATGCCAGCTATTGATCCAACAGCTGGCCTTGCATTGTGTCCCTTGGATGCCCATGAGATGAGAGTCAAAAAATAGCTGATAAACTGCCACCAATTTCAGTAAACATTTCAAAATCCTCATATCTAAAGCAGAGTCTGCTCCTCCTGCATTCTGTTTTGGCATCATGATACAGTCGGATGTTTGAGCTGAAAACCCTGGAGTTATTTTCAAACCTTTCCTCCTCCCACCCTCATCTGATCAGTCACCAAATCCATCTGCTCTCCTCCAAAATCTCCCCTCTATTCATCCCTTCCTGTTCTCCTCTCCCTATCCCCAATACCTTGCAGTTCAGCTGATTAGTCCCTTGCATAGACTAGTAAGTGAGCTTTCTTCCTTAACTGGCCTCCCTGTGCTAGCCTCCCTCCTCTAATCCAGAATTATCCTAAAGCACAAATCTTACTGTATCTCTTCTCTTCTTGTGCACACCTGTAGTCCCAGCTATTTAGAAGGCTGAAGACAGAGGACTGCCTGAGCCTAGAAATTCAAAGTTCAAGTCTGTAGTACACTATGACAGTGCCTGTGAATAGCCACTGCACGCTAGCCTGGGCATTATAGCAAGACCCCATCTCTAAATTAAAAACAATTTTTAAACCTCCAAAGACTCCTCCTGCATCTACCCTTATATCATCTATACTCCCACAACTCACTACAGTATCTTGAATGCTTTTCTAAATACTATTCCTTTCATATGATATGCCAATCCCAACCTTCTGCTGGGTAAACTTGTCATCCCCTAAGACTTAAATTTAGCTCAAACATTATCTCCTTGGTTGAATCTCCACAGTGGCTCTCATAGGACTTGACACAAATCTTTATGAAAGCTCTTATCATGCCCATTTTCATATTTATTTTTCCCACTAGATAATGAACTATTGTTAGTCTCTGAGTTTCCTCATATTTCAGAATTTAAGCAGGAGTTTAACAAAAAGTAAGACTTTGCTGAATGAATGTATATGTGGATGAATATCCAAAGCAGTTCAAATTCTCGTATTTGGGCACATATTGTAGTAGGAGGTGGTGATTAAGAACATGGACACAAGCCTGGGTTTCAAAAGTCGTGGCTCAGCCGATGACTTCTTATGACCTTGAGAATCACTAAGCTCCCCTAAATCTCTGTTTCCTTATCTGTAAAGCAGTCATAGCAACACCTACTGCATAAGGTGACTATAAGGATTAAAGTCTGCAACATAGTAAAAGGTCAAGAAATAAAAGCTGTCATCGCAGTGATGGCATCACCAAGAAAAAGATAGCAGAGGCTATTTCCACAACCTAGTGGGTAGAGAAAAACACTGAAATAACACACACACACACACACACACACACACACACACACACACACACACACACAAATGTTAATCAGAGAGTGGAATTACCTCTGAGGGGAAAAGAAAGGGAATGTAATCAGGAAGGAGCAGACAGGAGTGCTAGCAATGTTATATTTTTTAAGTTACGTGTTCATTTTATTATTCTTCTTTAAACTACAAATATATATATATGCATTCTTTTGTATGCATAGTCCTAATTAAATGAAAAAATTTTCAAAGAAGTAAACAGAGATAAGGCTGTTGTAAATTGTTTGGTGATTGTTTCCCACCTATCTCATGACTTTTGTTTTACATGCTGCTGAGCTTATGTTGTCCTGGTTGAGGCGATGGACAGGCCTGGGTGCCTGAAAGGATACAGTGCTTCCAGTGCGTAAAGGCCCGCCGCAGTGCCATCCTCCTGGCCAGCTCCTCCACACGAATGTGGTGTGCATACAATCTCTCTCTTTGCTCCCAGGCCCACTGCCAGTCACAGAAGTACGTCTGGAGAATAGAGGCACGATGGAATTGCTCGGCCATCTCTGCAACAAAGAATAACTTAAGTGCTGCTTCCCCAAGGTTGGAAGATGAGCTGGAAGCATTTTTAAGAAAAGCTAAATCCTACTAATGGCAGACAGCAGGGGTTTACTGGCAGAGAGCAGGCTTGAGTCTTTTCTCTTTGCCAGTAGTGGGGTTTAGCTCACCTTAAAGATGCTTCCAGCTCATCTTAAACAAATAAAAAATTGAATAATAATAAGCTAGAGTGTGTGGTATGATCATAGCTCACTGCAGCCTTGAACTCCTGGGCTCAAGCAATCCTCTCACCTCAGCCTCCCAAGTAGCTGGGATTACAGGTACATGCCACCATGCCCCACTGATTTTTTGTTTTTTTTTAATAGAGATGGAGTTTCACTATGTTGCCCAGGCTGGTCTTAAATTTCTGGCCTCAAGAGATCCTCCCACCTTGGCCTCCCAAAGTGTTGGGACCACAGGTGTGAACCAACATGCATGTCCCAAAAGTTTTCATTTTTTATTTTTAGAGACACGGTCTAGCTATGTTGCTCACGCTGGTCTCAAATTTCTGGCCTCCAGTGATCTTTCCAATTCAGGCTTCCAAAGTGCTGGGATTATAGGAATGATAATATAACATAACCAAGTCAAGTCCTTAAATAAAAGTTCTTTAAACACTGGAAGGGCAACATAGTGAGACCTCGTCTCTACAAAAAAATAAAAAAATTAGCTGGGTGTGGTGGGGTATGCCTGTAGTTCCAGCTACTAGGGAGGCTAAGGTGGCAGGACTGCCTGAGCCCAGGAGATTGAGGCAGCAGTGAGCCATGATCATTCCACTGGTGCTCCAGCCTGAGCTACAGAGTGAGACCTTGATTGAAAACAACAACAAAAACACTGGAAGATCATTAGGAATCCCTGAGGTACATCTCCTTTTTGCAAGGAAAAAGTCTGTGATTTCTAGGGAGGCGGACGCTATAAAATTAGTTAAATCAAAGGGCTGAGTCTTCTAGTTAGATACTGATGAGCAGAACGGCAACTGTTGCTTTCAAAGAGGACTCTGACTTTTGCCCCTATATGGATGTCTCCTGGATAGGATTTAGGAACTAAGTCGGTGACATATAATTTGTCTGACATACTGGCAAAGGTTTTTTGAGCTTTCAGCCAGCTGATCCTGGCTGACAGCTGATCCTGGCTGCCAGCTTCACCTCCTTTTAATGCTTATCAACTAATGGCCTGATGAACTGAAGCCCAAGAAGTGGAAGGGAATCTGACCCGGAATATGAATGCTATTATTGGAGGCAGGTATTAGTTAGTCTATAGCTTGTCATGCTAAACAGTTTAATACCCTCCCCTTCCAGGCTTGGGCAAGTAGACTGTTGGTCTGTAGTTACTATCCTCAAATGAACATGTGCAAACTCTCCCAAGAGACAGTGCTGGCAGCCTAGATCTCTGCAGGACAGTTTGGGTGAATGCTGGACAATGCAACCCAGTGTCTTAAATACAGTACTTGACTCACTGCCATCTAAGCTCAATAAACTTAAGTCCAAAACATGTACCAACGATTATGTTTCTATGTATTATTCCTTCTGAATCTAATTGGGAAACTAAATCATAACAGTATCCAAAAAAACCTGATACCAATATCACATGCATTTGCATAACTGGAGGCAATTAGAAACAGTTGAAATATCTATCAATAGGAGAATGACTAAGAACATTAAAGTAAGTCATTCTACAAAATATGAACAATTGTTAAAAAAGAACATTTATAGCTGGGCTCGGTGGCTCAGCCTGTAATCCCGTGCCTTTGGGAGGCTGAGGTGAGTGGATTGCCTGAGCCTGCGGGTTTGAGACCCGCCTAGGCAGCGAGACCTCATGTCTACAATAAAATCAAAAAATCAGTCGGGTGTGGTAGCGCGTGCCTGTAATTCCGGCTACTTGGAAGGCTGAGGTGGAAGGATCGCTGGAGCCCAGCGGGTCGAGGCTGTGGTGGTCAGGAGCAGCCACTGCACTTCAGCCTGGGCGACAGAGTGAGACTCCAACTCAAAAAAAAAAAAGGGGGGGGGGACATATTCATCACGTGGAATATTATACAACCATTTAAAAGTTATTGCAGAATATTTGTAGACCTGTATAGATGTTCATTATACATATTAAACTGTAATATGTTTTTAAAGAAGATTGTGAAACTACTTGTATACTTTTAGTAAAACAGTCACATTTAAATACATATAAACACAAAGAGCCTGATCCTAAACCAGGGTAAGTGAGGACCAGTTGGAAGCCCAAACTTTACCTGCACATACATTATATATGTATCTAACTCTGACTTGTACCCCACACCTTTGTGATAAAATAAAGTAAAACAATAAATAAATATATCCATACATATAAACACAAAGAAAAGCTTAGAAGAGTATGCAACAAAATGTTAATGGTGGTCATTTCTGAGTGGTGGCAGTAGGATTTTTTTCTTTTTTGAGTTGGATCTCACTCTTGTCACCCAGGCTGGAGTGCAGTAGCATGCTCATAGCCACTGCAGCCTCGACCTGCTGGACTCCGTTGATCCTTCTGCCTCAACCTTCCAAGTAGCTGGAACTACAGATGCACACCACCATGCCAGCTAGTTTTTCTTGTGATTTATTGTAGAAACGAGGTCTCACCAAGTTGTCCAGGCTGG